GTAGCAAAAGTGAAAATAAGCATTATGTCTAATTTATTTCAAATTTTTTGAATGAATCCGATTTGACCGTAATTTGGTATTATTATGACAGAAATGCCGCGAACAACTTAACGGGTTACCGGGGGCTCCGGCTCGAAGTGCAGGAGTAGGAACGAGGTGGTTTTTAGTCTGTAAGAGTCTGACAATCCCTCCCGCCTCACCCAGGTGGGAGAATGAATTCAACGATTTCCCCCCTTAAAAAAAATATGACAGAAATAAAAAAATAAACAATATGATGAAAATGTGTCATTTCAATCGTCACACCAACCAGTAAACACGTCACACCTAAATCAGTTCCTGAAATTAGTCATAAACATATTATTTTTCTGGACAAACAAAAATGAATCTTAACTCGTCGAGTACCGTATTTATAGACACAATTAAAGAACAATAGGTCGCGGTCACCGGTGACCGCTTGGTGTTTGACAGTTTAATACCTTTCATTTAAGAAATAGTCATCTCCACTTGAAATTTACAGTTCCCAAATCAGTAGTTAAGGTCATAATGTCAGCGAACCATTTGAGTCATTAAACCGCTGCGCTAACGACCACGTGTGGTCCGATTCAATTCCACACGGTCGCGACCCTAAATATGGGGTACTAATGAAGTATATGCAAAAAGATCAGACAACAGGAACATCCTGGTTTAGAAAAAAAAACTTTGATATTTGTCATTTCTGATAAAATGATTACAAAAGTAGCTAATGAACAATAGTTATCAGATTAATTATTATTTTTACTGTTTAATGTTGACTGCGACCGCCGGAGCCGCAGAATCAAGTAGCCAGTAGCAGCGCGACAGTCGCCGGGTGCGGAATGCTGCTCATGAACATGAGCCTCTAGCATGGCTTGAAACTACTCGAGTTCCTCATCAAAAAGTTACGAGAGTAAGCCGAAAACAATAATTAATTTAGTATGTCTCAGCAGGTTAAAATTGGTCTCGAACCGATTAGAACGTTACTGGGTGTTGTCGATTTATTCGATTTTATGTATCTACACCTAACTCAAACTCAAAGCATTTATTTCAATTAAACCTTAATTTGGTACTTTTGAAACGTCAACAAATATGAAATAAAATAATAGTCTGTCAGTCTATCCGTCAGTGAAGCTAGGCGCTCGTTCCAAAATGTCGATTCGAGTGGAGAAGAACGAGCAAGAAACTCCATTCGTTACTCTTTTAAAAAAAAGTCAGTTTTACATTGCTCTGATACATATTCCAATATTGTACACATGTGAGAATAATGTAAAGACATACCTGACGCAACATACAAATAACAGAACGTACTAAAATAAAAATAAAAATAAAAAAACAAAACCAAGTCAAGTCAATCCTAGTTTCTATATTTCCTTCCGAGAGTAAGTACTTAAAAGGCTTAAAGTTATGCGAATTTTCACTGGAAACTTTTATACTTTATTCTTTTGGTTTGATTTACTTACTGCATCTATGTATAACTCCAAATTGAGATGTCAGAACTCAAAAGGTTTTAAAGTCCGATATAATAATCTGCTGCGAATAAAAAGTTATAGGAACTATTGCCGTAAAATTATTGGTACAGGTTGTAAATTAATATGGTTAATAATTATCTCAGGCGGTCAAACTTATAAGCCTGAATAAAACAACAAATTAAGTTGCCCACTCCAACAAAAACTGGCCACCATATCATGTCAAAAAATACGATGGAAGAATTTTTACCGCGTGACTCTTAAAAATATTACCCACGTTTTTACCAGCACTTGACTTACATAATAAACATGGCAGAATACAAAATGTACTACAAAAAGACAAGCAATTAGGCTCGGGTCGCGATATATCACGCTGGACAGGTAGCAACATGTTGCCCTGATGTCTCTTCTAATGGGGGCTGTTTGTGGCCCAACTAAATTCTGTTGTGGGTTACAATGCGTTTGTCTGCTCACAATCAAGATTTTAGGCCTTAAATACGGTCTAGTTTTAACTTTTATGCTGCATTACTTTACCTGCGTAAATATTTATCTACATATTCTATGTTAAATATACTTTAAAAGCTAAATGTTTTCTTCGTTGGATGTAGCTATGACAATTTTGGAGGCTTCAAAATTCTAAGCTATAATGTCTTTAATTATGTTTAACCTGCCGTGTGTCTAAACGTGGATCCACGCGAGACGCAATCTATTTTCTACATAACATCATAACATGCTGCACATTATGCCACTGTACAATGTAACACCCACTTTTCACTATTTGTGTTATGAGTCCCATGTAATAAGGGGTGAGCCTATTTCCATATACCAGACACAATTCCAGACTCCGTGCTGCTACTGAGATTTTTTCTTAAAAACCTAGTAATACTTTGCCTGACCCGGGAATCGAAACCGAGACCCCTTGTCCGGCAGTCGCACTTGCAACCACTCGGCCAACGAGGCAGTCAATTTCAACTTCTATTGTGTCTCATTTATTGGCATTCAAGCCGTTATATTTTGGTTTAGGCATAATATCGAGACTTGACTTGTCAAGACAAGTCAACTACTGGCAAGCCTGCTAAGTAACTAATAAAATATTGAAATGGGTATGTAAAATAAAAACATTAACATCACTGGACGTCACTAACGCTAAATATAGTCACAAAGTTATATCTATCAAATCCATCTTCTCTACGATGTCGACTAAATATCTTTCAAGGGAACAAACTTAGATATTTATTTGAGGTAAAAATATGAATAATAAAAGGTTTGTTCGCGACCAGTGAGAGATGGTAGCAATATTTCTTTACTTAAAGAAGGGGGCGCTGGTGTAGCGATGAATTATACAATTTGTTAAGCTTTGTGCCCAAGGGGTCTTTTGGACCCTGAAGTTGACTATTACAACCTCTTTTTATTCACTGATTACCTTTTGTCTGACTTTATTGCGTGTTTTATATTATTTAATCCTGTTTTTTGGAGACATTTTTTTAAGATGGAGCACGGAGGTTGATTTTTTTGTTGGTTTAATTAATTAATTGTAGCTGTTGCAATAAGATACATTTTATAATATTAAACATCTAAATTTTGGAAGTAGCGCCATCTAGTTCTTCCTTGGGAAGGTAACCGTGCAAGATGTAATTTTTTAATCTGTATTTGTTCTCGCCCTTTTTCCTTGTCTTTGCATCGCATCATCGCATGGCGTTCGGCGCCATGCGATGATGCGATGTATGATGATGATATGTTTCCTAAGTTTATAAAATAAATGCATATTAAAAGTGTCCATCATTTATTTAAATGAAAACAACCACTTTAACAGTAGTAATAAAAAAAATGTAACGTTTTTGTACAAAAGAGGCCGATAAATGGTTCACATGAAAGAGAATAGTACGATATTGCTATTACGGAAAAAGCTTTTAAAATTTACTATACATACACATACATACATAAATAATGTGCTTAATAAAGTATGAAATGATTTTTACTTACAAACCACAGATTGCAATTAAAACACGATTAAAAGTAAGCATGATGAAAATTCCAACCATTTCATTTTGAGCCAAAACGATTTTAAAATTTTAATTTAGGTTATAACAAACGGGAGATGTAAAAGGTATGATATTGTATTGGCGAGGAAACAAAGGTTTACGGTTGGTCGTGATATTTAATTGAATAATGACTGCCCGTAAACAAAGGAGTAATAAGCTATTAATCTCGCCACAACAGGCATGTGTTACTACGAGAACCTTTCCTATGTATTATTTTTAAAGACTTTTAGAGCAAAATTCAAAATATGAAAGAAATTAAAAAAAAAAGAATTTGCGCATAAGTTTTCAAAGAATATAATGATTTTTAATATCTTTCGACTTACTGTCTGACCAAGAACTATAGTATAGTAAGCCACGCCTGAAACTCACCCCTGGCGTGACTTCAGACTAGTTCGTATAAAGATCGTATAAATTACAATCATATATTTTTTTAAATATTGTTTAATAAATGTGTTTGGCAACACATAACTGTCGTACTACATACCTACTGCAAGATTGTAACTGAGGAGAGATACAAATGTCACAAATATAGGATAGCATCTTACAGTATTTAAGTGACATTTCAGTCATTGATTATCAAATGATAGATCAATTTTATAAAGCAATTATAATTTTTTTTAACGTCAGACGAGAAAAAATTAAGTATCATACGACTTACAGTCGAGAACACCATAGTACGGCCAAGAGCCCGCTAATGAAAACAAATGAATATCGCACGCTCATCGCTACTTTCATGAGTGATTCTTTTGTACGAATAAATTCTAACAGAGATGAATAATTAATAAATGTTTTAGACGGGTGAAATTTATTGATGTTTTTCCTAGATGATTTTCAACCTCTTCGTGATTTTAATAATTTGCAATATAAAGCATTTTCATTACACTCTCTTTTTATCTTACTGTAAAGGATAGGCTATGTTAGTAATTTTATGACAATAATCACACCTGTACGGCGTCCTAATTGGGTACTTGCCTTAATCAAAAATAAATTATTTCGACTGTTCAATACAATAAAATATTAAAAAGTAATCACACATTCATTAATTGATTTTATGACTAACTTAAATTTAGTATTTTTCCAGCAAATTTTTTACAAATAAGTATGATGTTTGACACTAAAAAAAACATGACGTCATAGTACACAATCTCATACAAAATTCATAGAAAACTGTCTTTTTTGGCAGTTCGAAAAAAGTATTGAATTTGACTAGATGGCAATTACCCAATTTATAAAGTTTACTCGCATGGCCACCTCGAAGGGCCACCCGGTGTGATTTTTATAAACTTCTCAAAAACTCATTTAAATGACTAATACGAAAATGAATAAATGAGACCAAACCCTAAAATCTTACATGACGTAAATAAATTAAAAAAATAAAAATAAAAATACAGCCATTTATTTTATGCAATCTTATCTCTAAAATAGTCACGCAGAACAAAAACTCCTTCAGAAACTCCTTATTTTGTAAGGAAAAGAATCATCCGAAACATAATTCTAAAACTTCAATCTTGAACTTTTGATCTTCGTTGCGATTATCTTTGATCAAAATATCGGTTATAGGCAACCTATGTACAAATGAACTTTGAATTTTTATGATAGAACTCATCCATTCCTTAACGCCTTCCTGCAACATCAATTTTTAAATTAACATATGTTCTGACATGAAGATTGTTTAAGTTCTAACTAATAGATGGCGCTTAGCACAATTTGCCATACCAAAACATTCTGATGAGTCATACTTTAAACAGATTGACATGCGAATGTGAAACTACCCAATATGCAATTCCTGGGTAGTCCACCAGGTATAATCTTGTAACCTAGTCAGAGATAAACCTTTTTTTTTGATATTAGAGTATACAGTACTTTCCTAAAATATAATTTCTAGAATCAATTATTGCATTTACGTAGTACTAGTATTTTGGTAGTAGGTAATGTCTATATCAGTTTTATCCTGCAAATATGAACTTTAACATTTGCAGCACAAGGAAACACAATGTGACATTAACTGTCCATCGGAAAAGGAAAAATCTTCCTATGTTAGTCGACTGAACTGTTCTTAAGTAACTACAAAGTATCTACAAATTAAATAAAACCTTATATTTTACCTTACAAAAATCAGTTTCCTTTGGCACTGTATAAAATAGTGGCGTTTTTGGAGTTGCAAATGGTCCGATTACAACGTCGTTCCAAGTCAGTAACTCTAGCGATGTTGCTGAAGTATTGTATTTTGGGTAAGGCACTGAGTCAAAACAGTGATATTTTATTGTTTGGCGAACAGACACTGATCTTTCTTGAAGCCACGTTATTTGTTCTAATGATAACTGAAACGTAGAAAAATTAAATATAAATACCTACCAGAGCAACGATTCAAAATTCAGAATCTATGTGAGTAGCAAAAAATGTGAATAGAAAGACGTTGTTCGTTTAAGAACTAAGCTTAGCAGTTGCATTTTAATTTCAAATGCTTCTTGTTAAGTCTTATATGGTTTAATGGAATCGATGAATAAGTTTCGAAAAAAAAAAACAAAACGAACTGGGTTCTGAACTCACGGTACTTAACTTAAAGCATAGGTTTTCTGTGGCATTTTTTGTTACATACATACATATCATCACGCCTTTTACACTCGAAGGAGTAGGCAGACGTGCACATTACGGCACTTAACGCCAATGTCCAATACAATACCCACTTTTCACTATTTATGTTATGACTGCCTATGAGGTAATGTGCACCTCTGTCTACCTCCTCGAGGATGTTGTATTATGTTGTAATAAAGGATTGTTTCATAACCATAACGTTATCTGTTGAAATTTATATTATCTATTATTACTTACTTTATAAAAATCTATTAGACGAACACCCAGGGAACTTAACCAGACTGACTGGTTTACTAATATATGTTTATTTTCTGGAGTTGCCGGAATATTAAGAATGCAAGTTTCTGAAGTAGTCATGTTACAGTAGACGTTAAATTCTTTATTTAGAGGTCCCATTTTGTAATTCCCTGAAACAAATAAAATAAATAAATACGAGGAACATAGATACACATAAATCTCTCTATTAGGTTTTAAGCTAAGCATTTATGGTCATGCAAACTAAAAGTGAATACACAATTTAAGCTCAATTGGTTGAAGATATCTGCTTCAAAATTATGCGTACATACATCCTTACTAATATTATAAATCGGAAAGTGTGTTTGCTTGTTTGTTTGTTTGTTCCGCTTTCACGCCGTAACTACTAAGCCGATTGCTTTGAATTTTTGCAGACGTAAAGTTAGAAGTCTGGATTAAATAATAGGATACTTTTTATCCCGGAAAAAAAATATATTGCCGAGGGAAAACAAAAGTATTGGTATAGATGACGCTGTGTGTATTGGTATATATATATCACATAGGCTACTTTTTATCCTTTTGTGACGCGAGCGAAGCCGCGGGTAAAAGCTAGTTGCAAAATAAATAAGTGTGGGAGAGTCCTGCACTTGCACAAGCATGGCCGACTGGAGTGATACCACGGTCTCACAGAAAACCGACATGAAGCAACGCTTGCGTTGTGTTTCGTCGTGTAAGTGAGGTTACCGGAGGCCCAATAACCCCCCAATTTTCCCAATCCCTGAATCTCCAACAATCCTCAAACTCCTAATCCCCAAAAGGCCGGTAACGCACTTGTAACGTCCCTGGTATTCCAGATGTCCATGGGCGACGCTGATTGCTTACCATCAAGTGATCCGTCTATTCGTATATCGGCTTATGCCATAAAAAATAAAACGTTTGAAATAAACATAGACTAAATCGCTATTTTACCAGCTCTGCTCCGCTTGTTTTGGTCATAGCGTGATTTTTTAAAGTCTACCTCGATATATATGATATACATGGACCATCCAACACAAAAGAAAAAATCAAATGAACTAGTAGTTCCACAAATTAGCGCATTTAAACAAACAAACAAAAGTCAAAAGTAAAAAAAAAACAAAAGTCTTCGGCGTTATATAATAAAAAAACTATAAGATTATATTATAAATTAAGAGTATAAGATGTAAGCCAATGAATTGTCAATGATATGTAAGCCATTATTGTCACATGCATCAGACCATTATATTGTTATTTTTGTGTATTTTAAATGTTATATGTTTGTGAGGTGGCAGTACTCCTACGAATAAATAAATATGATACTATAAGATACAAGAAATAATATATAAAATAAAGGACTGTAATGGTATAATTTTAAGAAAAAGCCACTTATCAATTGGTCGCTAGCTACAATACTTTTGGTCTTACCGCTTTCGACATCTTTAGGTGCAGCATTACAAGGTTTTTCTACTGGTGTGTCAGGATCCCATTCATCATCACCAACTTCCATACTACTTTTTTCTGCAAATATAATACTCAACGATTTTACACTACAATTTGTATAGTACTTAAACTTAACCACTGATCTAAAGAAAAGTAACTTATTAATAAAAATGGCAAATTAACGTAAAAAATATATTTTCATTGTTGTCAACAAAATCTTCTGATGACCATGCACCATGTGCACTGTTAAAAGGATTGGTTGAAGAAGATAGATTTTGATATTTTCACGTAATTTCTGTGTGTATGAGATAATCAGTAATAACGTAAAAAGTTGTGCAAAAATCAGTTGAATTTATTTAAACATTGGGTTAATAAGAACTTACTAATTCCTGGCAAAATACAAGGGCATATTCCAGGTCTCCCTTCAATTCCAGGTGGTCCTATAGGTCCTGGTTTACCCTGAAAAAATACGTATTTTTTTATAAATTAGGTTTTTATCACAAGGGGATAAAATTGTTAGTGGACAGGTTGACAGATTCATAAAACATGTACTTTTGGTGGGGGGGGGGAATCATCAAGATTTCTCCCGCCTTGGGTGGGGCAAGAGGGAGTGTCGGACACTTACAGTTACTGACTAAAACACCCCGTTCTTGCTCCTGCTTTCAGTCAGAGCCCCGGCGACCCGATGGGTTGTCCGCAGCTTTTTTTAAACGGGGAAAATCATCTGCTCCCGCCTGAGTGAGGCGGGAGTTTGTCCTCAGCTTAGGACCGAATTATATTTTTAAACTACTTAATTAATTTGCCGTGTTTCCTTTTTGGGTAAAAAATATTAAAGGCAACATACTAAATTAACTAAAAATCGCGGATTACTCAGGAGGCTGCGCGACACCATCGATACTGTACACGCTGCTCATAAGGAAGAACCCCTCTGTGGTTCGAAACTAGTAGAGCTTTCCTCAGTATTTTCACGTGAGTTATCTCCGATTTTTAGGTAATATTAAAGGCCACCAAATAGTACAAATTGGCAATATGCTGATTTATGTGATATGTTGCGCTTAGTAACTTTTAGGCAAGATATTGAACATATACAACTACATAAATATTTACAACTTAAAAATAACTACAACTAAACTATTGAATACACAGAAAGTAAAAAAAAAACTCAAAAAGTAACAGACTATACGCTTCATTTTGGCGTCAAAGTACTCGTCGGCATCACTCTCACTTTTAGTTTAGAGATGATTTAGACGAGATGGTAAAATTGGCCATCAGTCTCAATACTCACAGTGACTCCGCGTTCTCCTTTGTCACCTTTAGGACCCTAGAAGCATAATTGGAACGTTTATTTTACATGTACGTAACATCAAATTATTATCATTTAAAAAAAAAAAAACGTTGCCCCACACTAGGATTATCTCCTGTATCGTGGGTGCGTTTACAAACATACAACTTCACATACACATGACACCCAGACCCGAAACTACAATTTGTGGATCACACAAAGTGTTGTTCCGTGCGGGAATCGAACCCGCGACACGTTGCACGGCAGCCGGTTGCCCAGCTACCGCACCAACCGTGCAATCAAATTGCAGGTACCGTGCTATTACTGACTTACTCGTAATTATTATTTTGAGTCTAACAAGACTTTCCCATGACTTCGTAATTCAAGACCTTCATCTTCAAAATTATTGTTAAAAAAATTATCTTTAGATTAGTTCTACCTACATATTTTAGAGAATAGATTTGTACGGTGTACCATGAGTCAGCGCGTAAGACAAGACCAACGAATACTATGCAATGGGGATGATGACAGGGTATGAAAATTAAAAATATAATTAGTCCGTAAGTTAGGTAATGAAAAAATATTAGACACGTATTTTTTTATTTTGTCGTATAATAAAACAATACTTAGATAAAACGAATCAAAGTTTAGGAGTGGGGGCTAAAACGTCATTTCTTAGTATAAAATGTACTGAGAAGTGACGTCACGCGACATTTCAAATCAATATATCTTCGAAACTATTAGTTTCTGTGAGAAAATAAAATACGTGTCTAATGTTTTTAAATAATCTATCAGACGGATATTAAAATAAAAATTAGTCGTCTACCCTAGTCCACGAGAGACCATTGCCATTCTACCATTTGCAATTAGCGTTCAATATCATTTATCAAAAACTTTCGCTTACCACTGGTCCAATTTCACCTTTCAGACCTTGCAGCCCGGGTAATCCTGACGGACCCTGAAATAGCATAACAGTATCATAACGTCTTCCGACGGTTTCGAGGTCGGCTACGGGACACTGTGCGACACACGACGCCGTCTATTCGTGTCACCTAGTTATTAAGTACCTAAAGTGTAATTATTTTGTTTGTAATGTTTGTATAGTATTTATAAATCTTTAACTCGTCGAGTACCGGTTTTATAGACACAATTAAAGAACAATAGGTCGCGGTCACCGGTGACCGCTTGGTGTTTGACAGTTTAATGTATTAGTTTATAGTATTCAATATGGGCCTATGATGCCTGAAATAAATGGATAAATAAATAAAATAAATATATAAATAAGTAAATCATCAATTGACATCTTGAATGTCGGTATACGTATAAGACACAATAGAAAACACATTATGTTTCGCGTAGATCTACGCTGGGAGACGAGGAGTTAATGTCTCATTGTCTCCTGTGTGTCAAAATCTTACTAAGTTGTTATAATAAGGAAAACACGCTTTTAGACCTAATTGACGTGGATATCCAGGTCATCAAGGAAAATGGACGTAATTCTAAGAACCCAAACTTGTTTCTTAGAAGGCCTCATCAAGCTTTCTATTTCAACATCGGACCAATTCTACACCATAATATAATATGACTGTCTAGTAATGTGACGATACAAGAATAAATTGTGTATGTGATTCCGATTAAAAGATATCATTATTTTTATTATTTATTTCTGTTATTATATAAAATACCTTAGTTTGTTTCGCACATTTTAAGGCTTGTTATAAAATAATGTTACATCATAAATGGACATGAATTTGCTTTGAAGGTATTATTATTCAACTCACTGGAAGTCCTGAATCTCCTTTATCTCCTTTCTCTCCTGGTAGCCCAGTTTCACCCTAAAACATGAAACAGTTTTGTAAGTAAGAAAGAAAAATCATTTATTCGACAGTAGGCACGCACACAGATACAACAAAATACAAAATTAAAAAAGAAAAGAACAAATAAATACACTTATTTATACAGATATGGAAAAAAACACAAAGAAACGACAATGTATAACAACGTATTACCTACGTAATTCCATAGTTACAATTGCAAATTTCCTAACGGATAGAAGTATGTTGGTTATTATCAAAGGTCATATAATAATAATAATAAAAAGCTGTTTATTTCTCATAAAATACAGTTTTATACAAATCTTAACTTAATCTTAAACTTAAATAGAAAAGATTGTACAGTTAAGGAGTTGCTATTTCATTACAATTCATTAAATGTCGCTTGAATATGTTATAGGTCTGCCTTTTATTTTTGTTTTCCAGTTTACAAATTATGTGTTTTGGCAACTTGTTTAGTATTCGGGCAAGACTGACATTCCATACTCTCTCACCATAATCGTTATGACATTTTGGTATTTCAAAGGTAGGGAGATAGTCTAGTTTACGTAATGTGTTTAATCTTTTTGTTGTATTCAATTTACACATGTCACTACTGTACTGAGTTACAATTGCTAAATCTCTCTTATCAAATATACTCAAAACCTTGCAATAATGAAACAAGTTGTGATAGTTATCTTTGTTCTTGAATTTAACTTTTAGAGGAACAATTGTTTTTAAAATTCTAATTTGCAAATTATATATATCATTTAGATATGTTTTATACGTTCTTCCATAGCTAGTTAAGCCATAACTTATGACCGAATCAGCTAAAGACATATACATAAGTCTCAGTGTTCTATATGGCACTTTATGTTTGAGCACACATAGTTTTGACAAAATTGCTCTTAACTTGTTACATATTAGGTTAACATGTGATCTCCAGTTAAACTTATGATCTATTATTAGTCCAAGGTAGGTGTGTTCTTTCACGATTTCAAGCTTCCCACACTTACAAGCATTATTGTTTATATGCATACAACTGTGCTCATGGGCGACGATCATCGGCAATGAAGCTGCTTTTTTGTAAGGCGAGTGTATATATATTAATTTAGTTTTACTATAATTAATTGATAATCCTAGATCATGAGCCCATTTGCACAATGTATCAAAATCGTCCTGCATCATACTTTGCGCCTTGATAATGTCTTTATGAGCAGAGATCAAGCACGTATCATCGGCAAATTGGTACACCGAGACATGCCGGAATACATTACACATATCATTTACGTACAATAGATATTCTGTCGGTCCTAGTACCGATCCTTGGGCCGTGCCATATTGTGTTCGTATTTGGTCGCTCTGCTCCCCGGCTATACTTACAGCATTATATCTATTTGTATGATAATTTTTAAGCAATTCCAACATTGGTCCCTGTATACCATTTTGTTCCATTTTTTGGTACAGTTTTTCAAAATTTAATGTATCAAACGCTTTGCTAAAATCAACCATAACAGCTAAAACATGGTTCCTATTATCTAAGTGCTTATTTATTTCATCTGAAAAAGTTGCCAGTAACTGAGAAGTACTTTTATTTCTTTGAAATCCGTACTGTTTTTCATGCAGAATGTTGTTACTCGTAAGAAAGTTATTTATTAAATGCCCAAAGTATTTTTCAATTATTTTATTTATACATGATAGTATTGTTATTGGTCTATAATTATTTGTATCATCATGTTTACCCTTTTTATGTATCGGCCTAATGAGACCTATCTTTAGCCTATCTGGATATATTGATCGAGTAATACAGGTGTTAATTAAGTGAGTGAGCACTGGGGTCAATTTGTCAGATACGTATTTAATGTCTGTTGCCCTTATTTTGTCGTGCCCTGGACTTTTTTTTTCATTAATATTTTTGACTATTTTATGTAAAGTTTCTTCATTAATTTTCTTAAGTCTTAACGACATTATCGGTGTATTTATGTATGTTTTCTCATTCAATAATGGCTCATTACAAGTGTTAATAACATTCTTAACATTGTTATCAAAATCGCGTGCAAACTTATTTGTCAGTATTTTTGCGGGTAGCTTGAAATATTTAAGAAGCAAATCATCAATCGATTTAACAATTCTACCGGTCAATTTATTAATAATATTCCATAACTCCCTTGGGTTCTTAAAATTATCACAAATATCCTTTTTGATCGAGTTATTTCTAGCCTTGTTTAACATCCTATTAGTTTTATTTCTATATCTTTTGTATACTAGTTCATTTTGTTTATTGTTTGTGTCGCTTAAGTGTATTTTCAATAGTTTTTTTTTCTATTACTCATTGATATTAATTTCTCGGTTATCCAATTACATTCGTGTTTCTTTACATTTATTATTTTGGATTGATAGGTACATTTTTTATAGACTGACTGTATTTTATTTACAATAAAATCAATTATTTCGTTGGGTTCGGCGCAGCCGAGTGCAGGTTTCCAATCAATGCTACTTAGTTCCTTTTTTACTTCATCATTATTTAATCTATTTACAACTTTATAATTGTTTTTGCATCTGGAACTGGTTATCGTTAGGCCTGTTATGAAATGATCGGCTAATGAGTCACACACAACCGCAGCATGTATTGAGTGACCTTGCGTACCTCGGCCGCACACGTCACGAACGAACAAATGATCTATACATGATTTAGATGTGGCATTTATATTCGTCTCGATTCTGGTAAATTGTGTTATACAGCTTTCAAAACCCAGTCCGTTTAGGCTGTTAAGGTAAGACTTGACAGTATTATTTGTACAACTTATATCTATGTTAGTATCGCCTGCTAAAATACAATTCACGTTTGTAGGATACGAGGATAAAAACTGTGTTAGTTCATTAATAAAATTATTCTTATTTAGGTTAGGCGGTCTATAAATAGAACACAAGTTAGTTTTATAGCCATAAGAAGTTGTTACCTCACCACACAAACACTCGAAGTTTACCGTATTCACTGGTTTTTGCATGAATGAAATACTCCTATGAGCATAAACAACAATGCCACCTCCCCTCCTTTCGTTTCGTAGTTCTGTGTACATAATATACTCCTTTATTTCGAATAAACTTGACATTGCATCGGTTATGTTTGCCTCTGTTATAATAATCAGGTGTATAATGGTCGGGCTTCTTGCTATAATGTAATCTATTTGTTGGTAATTTTTAATCAAAGAACGAATGTTGACGTGTAGTAAAATGAGTTTATTTTGTTCTTCGGGTAATGCAGAAACATATTCATTCCATGAGTAATACTTGGTCTCGTCTATGTTTGTATTATAACAATCCATGCAATACGTAAAAAAGTTGCCTTATCTATGGATAGATGATACATCTTTTATTTATTTATTTATCAATTGCTGAGGTACAAACAAGATGTTGGTAATATTCATGCAAAATTTGTAGTAAATCTATGCAGTAGTTTTGGAGATCATCCCGGACATATATACACACAAACAGACAAACATTCTAAAAACCATATTTTTGGTTTCGGTATCGATTGTAGATCACGTCTCAAGTATTATTTTAAAAAAATATTCAATGTACAGTTTCAACTGTTCTACGATTTTATTATATGTATAGAAGATTGATAAGATAATATCGGGTACTCTAAGATTTGTATTTATGAAATACTAGCTATTGCCATCTATCAACGTACGTCTATCAATCAACCATACCTACAGACGTGCATACTGCAGTACTTTGGCCATGTCTCCCGTCGTGATAACAAGTCTATAGAGCGGCTGGTCGTTCAGGGGAAAGTAGAGAGAACCAGACCACGAGGCCGATCACCTATGCGCTGGACCGATCAGGTCAAATCGGTAACGGGAAACCCAGTGTCAGACTGCGCCAGACAATCCATAAACAGGGAGAGATGGCGGAAGATCGTGAAGAAAGCTGTATCGGCCTCCAACACAAATACGGCCGCCTCAACATGACCACGACCGCTCAGTCAGCGAAGAAACAGAGAATAAGAGAGCTTATACCACCGGTTTCCACCGTTTCCATGCAATAAAATGTAGCCTATGTGCTATTCTAAACCATTTCCTGTTACAAATTTCATTTTAATCATAAGTACATACATACAATCTTTCGCACTTATAATATTAATAGGATTATAAAATCAATAAGTACTATAATATTTAAGTAGTTCATACTTACGCGCAATCCTGTTTCACCTTTTGGTCCACGCAACAGTGTGTCTCCCTGAAAAAAAATAATTTTGACCATTGAATAAATAAGAATAAGAACTTTTATTTAAATGAAGTATGATATGATAACTTAAGTATTTATTCAAATGTAACCAAATTGTAATTTAAAAATGTCATTGTATTTAAGAAATGTTGTAATACTTACAAATTTTACCGAACAGGTTGCTGAAAATAAAACACAAATTAGGTGTTTTAAAACAACACAATACAGGAAAAACTATACTGTAATCATAATTTACTATCACCACAAGGATCAACAGAATATTTTGGATAAAATAAAGCACAATTATTATTTGTATTACTAGCTAGACTCGCAACTTCGTCTGCGTTTTTCTAAAATGAGTGTAGTCCATGTTACCCCTTGGTACATTACCTACCTAACAATAAAAGTCCCGTCAATATCGGTCCAGCTATTTCAGAGATTTGCCAATACAAACAAACAAAGAGACAGACAAAAATTATAAAGTATTTTTTTGGTATATGTATCGTGTGTATTGTATGTAGCAAAAAGCTTAATGAATATTACAAACAGATACTCCAATTTTATCGTATCTGTATAGATGTATTCAATTATGGCAAGCTAAGATTATTATCATCATCATCATTGTTATCTGTTACAGCCAATAGACCGAACGGTTGGTGCAGTGGCTGGGCAACAGGCTCCCGTGCAGCGTGCCGCGGGTTTGATTTCCGCACGGAACAACACTTAGTTTGATCCACTAAATGTTGTTTAGGGTCTGGGTGTCATGTGTATGTGAATTTGTATGTTTGTAAACGCACCCACGACATAGGAGAATCCCAATGTGGGGCAACGTTTTTCTTTAAATAAAAAAGAGATTGAATCTAGACTTAGGGCGAAAAAGGCGTAATGTTATGTTTTATTGATATCGACGGTTAAATGGCTAATTGCTCTAAGCGACAGTTTTTGTCATATTGTTAAATACCTATATAAACGACGAAGGAAAATTCGCGGATTTCGAATATATATTTAATGAATATATATTTAATATCGCAAAAATATAGCTTAGATCATTTATTTCAACCTTCGAATTATGTAATTTATACTTACATAATTGTCTAGTACATTTCCGTATTTTGTCATCAGTTACCTGTAAAATGTATTTATCATTGTTAATGCATTTACGAATTATAATTATTAATGTATTTTAATACTGCACTAGAAATAATGCTGGTTAATTGTCAAAAGGTAGGTAATATTTGTTATGCAAATATGAAAATTACCAACTGCCTCTTTGGCCCAGTGCAATGGTCGCAAGTGCGACTGCTAATCAAAGGGTCTCGGGTTCGATTCCCAACTCAGGCAAAGTATTATTGGTTTTAAAAAAAATCTCAGTAGTGGCATGGAGTCTGTAATTGTGCCCGGTATATGACAAAAGGCTCACCGCTATTACGTAGGACTCATGACATAAATAGTGAATAGTGGGTGTTACATTGTAGTGGCATCAAGTGCCGTAATGTGCACCTCTGCCTACCCCTTCGGAGTAAAAGGCGTGATGTTATGTTATTGTGAAAATTACTTACCACTTCAACATCAGACATTGACGCTGAAACAAAGAATGGATAATAATATAGATTTGTTGTATATTTGTGGCACATTAAATGGTATAAAAGGTAATATAGTGAGGTCACTGTAATGACTAAATTAAAGTAACTATTTTACAAAATATATAACACTTTTGGACACGTATGTTACAAGTCAAATGAATGGATTCTTATTAGGTACCTACTACACAATATAAGTTAACTTAATCCTTACTCAAGCGAATCACATAATAACGAAGCAATATTGTAGGTTCAATGCCGATATTTTTAGTAATATTCATAATATTATAGTACAGTTACAGGTACAGTTTACAGGCAATTGATTTTTAAATGAAATTAATGATTGACATGTAAAAGTGCTGCCTTGTAGCCTATTTGCAGAAATAAATTGACTTGTTTGCCTTGTAAATGAAATAATCATTATTTCTGCAAATAGGTTACAACGTCATGTTGGCCGAGTGGTCGCAAGTGCGACTGCCGGGCAAGGGGTCCCGGGTTCGATTCCCGGGTCGGGCAAAGTACTACTGGGTTTAAAAAAAAAATGTCAGTAGTAGCACGGAGTCTGGAATTGTGCCCGGTATATGGCAATAGGCTCACCTCCTATTACATGGGACTCAGAACATAAATAGTGAAAAGTGGGTGTTACATTGTACAGTGGCATAATGTGCACCTCTGCCTACCCCTTCGGGGATAAAAGGCGTGATGTTATGTTATGGTATGTTATGTTATGTTATGTTATGTTATGTTATGTTATGTTATGTTATGTTATGTTATGTTATGTTATGTTATGTTATGTTATGTTATGTTATGTTATGTTATGTTATGTTATGTTATGTTATGTTATGTTATGTTATGTTATGTTATGTTATGTTATGTTACAACGAGGGCCGACATTTCCTAACTGACTACTCTGAGAAGAAACGCCGAAACAAAATCAGAGGTCATTGTCTCTTTTAAAGTCCAGACAGATTATAGTATAATGTGCGAGAACCATGCAAGTTGATTCTGTTGTGGTTTTTTGAGGAAAGATCCACAACAGTTTGAGCGGATCTATTCTGATAGCAGCACGCATGTGTCAGCAATATATTTAGAAAATAGAAAGTTTAATGTGGTTATTACTGATTTTATAACAAAAAAATATATATATTGATAAAAATAAATGAAATGATTATAATTCTTTACCTGAAGCATTTTGAATTTTGAATGCTATGCACATAAATATAACGCACAATTTAACTTTGACGTCCATTTTGAAAATTTAAACAAATAAACTGATGTTACAGGAAAAAGATTGACTGTCCTCATATTAGTAGGTATTTGTTAGATTCATTATTATTTTTAGAGTTCCACGAGGAAAAAACATAATTGTTTCGAATATGTCGCAAATAACCACCAATAAAAAAAATATTTTGTTTCTACAATCAAAATCACGTCTTGGTAGGTTTTAAATATTATTTTATTTATTTAAAGTTTTATTTATTTTACTCATGTAAAAATACCAATATTTTAACAAAGTCACAAAAGTACAAAATGAATAAAGTGAACAAACTAAGGTACATACAGTTTACTTATGTGGCAGAACTTAAAATACTACAGGGTGTCAACGTGAAAATACGCTAAGGTGTTGCCATATAAGTAAAGTTACCGGAGGCCCTATTCGTTCCCCAAAAGACGGACAATGAACTTGTAACCTCCCTTAATATAGGAACACCTGCTATAGGCGGCGTCTGTTACTTACCATTGGATGATACGCAAGCATGTGCGAACATACTTGCGTATCGGCCTAATTCTTAAAAAAAAATACTTTTGACGTAGTGAATTAATAGACTATCAGGTTTACACATTAAACATAAGAGATAGTATTTTGATGACGATTAAATAGAGACAAGTGTAAGAAAAAACGACTGTGCTGCGCCTAAGCCATTGGGGTCGAGAACCTAACGGGTTACCGGGGCTCCGGCTCGACGAGCAGGAGAAGGAACAGGGTGGTTTTTAGTCAGGAAGAGTCTGATACTCATTCCCGCCTCACCCAGGCGGGAGCAGTCATTCGATGATTTTCCCCCTTAAAAAAACCCATTGGGGTCTACCTTTTTTTGTCCACCAAATAACGTAAACGTAGAAAGAAAGTGTTTTTGTCCAATCACTGCAGCTGTCAAATATTGAACGTCCAATTGTGTTACACTATCTTATTCCCTATTGGACGAAAGTAGTAGGAAAAATGGAAAAAATATGGAACCCGTTGTGCGCGAGAACCACTTACTCTTGTCCAGTATAATCATTGCATTCTATTTATAGTGCTTACTACAATATCCTGATTCTGTCATTTATTGTTCTATTTTCCTGCTCAGTACCTCTATTATTATAAGATAATTTGGTTTTCTGGTATGCCAGCTTAATCAACAGTGAAACATTTTTGATTTAATTTTGACGAAGATACAATGAAAGAAGTGTTTCACCGAGTTAACGATATTGCGGGATATCAGGTCCAATCATCAAATGAGAAATCTCTAAATTTTCTTCAGAGGCCTTTAGGCCGGCAACCACCACGGATGGGGCCCAACAGGGCTGATGCCGATTCGGAGTCGCGGAGAACCTAACGGGCTACCGAGGCTCCGGCTCGACGTGCAGTAGAAGGAACGGGGTGGTTTTGTAGTCAGTAAGAGTCTGACACTCCCTCCCGCCTCACCCAGGCGGGAGCAGTCATTCGACGATTTTCCCGCCTTAAGAAAAAAAGGCCGGCAACCCACGTGCACATCTCCGACATTTAAAAATCAAAGACATTTAATTCAATTAGACAGTTAAAGCATTTTTGAACGTCAAAACAAAATATCGTTGTATTAAAAACGTCAGTCTGTCGGCCAGTACTCTAGTAAAGCTTTCTTCGTTACATTATTTCATTGGTTTAAATATGTGGAAATAATGTAACACCAATATTCAGTCAAAAAGAAAATAGCCTTGACGACGGTACGGGCACTCCATCTGTCATACACCATAAAAACAAACAAGGAAATTTTTTCTTGTTGAAAAACTGATCAACTGTAATCAGTCCTTTTTTTTTTAATCTTTATTTAATAAGAAGGGCTTTTTTCCGTAGAGGAAAATGTCAGCCCTATTATAGGATACAAAATTAAATACAAAAAATAAAGCAGCTAAACCTTTTGTAGGTTTAACTATCCCTTAAGCTCAAACACAAATTAATTAAACTATACAATTTTTTAGCGTCGGATGACAATGGTGACGCTAAAACACTGTTATAAAAACCAATATTAACACGTTCAACGCGGAACGAGACCTTTTAGTTCTCGTTTGTGACGTTTTAGTATCGCGCAAGTGAAATCCTATGTCCATCTCGTTTCGGCAAATGATATTTCTGTATGATTTTTTACTGATAGAGTGAGACAAATATTTTTGTTCATATTAGGTACATTGGATGTAGTATTTTTATGAATGAAAACGAACGAGATCTGATAGGTCTCGTTGCGACCAAATAGTAAAATTTTGCATCTAGCGCGGAACGAGAACTAAAGGATCTCGTAGCGATTTCGTGCGAATCCTCACAAGAAAATAATTAGTGCCGTGTCAACTTTCGATGTGTGCATATCAATTACGCTATAGGTAATCAAGATGACGAATCGCAAACGTTGTCGAAAAATTTTAGAACTTTCTTTTAGTTCTTCCGAAGAACCTAACGTAAGAAATGAAAATAATCAATCTCCAAAATCTTCAACTCTGTTTCGGAAAGTGTTCAAACGTGTTCCTGGAGTGCGCAGTGAAAATATTTGTGTTAGCCCAAGTACTGGACATTCTTATCAAGAGCTTACTAATGTGTTATCATCACCACGCGTCCAACATTCTACATCGTGCAGCACGGATCAAAATGTGGGTAATTCTAACTTATTTACATCCAACTTGCCAAGTATCAGCAAACAAGAGTCTTCGGAGTTTGTATCACCTTGCACACCAAATACGGACTATGATGGCATGGATTTACGAACTAAAAAGATAAAAATATTAGAGGAGATAATAATTCCAGCACCAATAACCGACACTATTTCTATAAATACCTCAATGGGTAATAATGACACTTTGCCATTAATGCCATTGATTAGGGGAAACTCGACATACGGTTCCCTCAGCAATATTTCGGTATCAAATATGCTTACCCTTGATGAGTCTTTTGATGAGCAAAAGATATCTGATCTACTTAATACACCAAAAAGCAATAATCGTATTTACAAAGAAAAACTTAGTTCACATTTGAAAATGGATGAGACACCAGAAAAACTACAATTAGATTTGTCTGCGCCAGGTCCCAGTCGAATACCTCTTGACATGGATAAAGCAATAATAGCACACCGTACATCTACTTCTAACATTATTGTTAAAGATAACGAGACAATTACTAGTACGAGTCTTAATAGCACCCACGAAAATGATCCAGTTATTGATTCTGATGATGACAGCAGTTATGTTCCTAGCGCTTCTTCGGAAAGTGAATCTGATATTACTGTTATAACATCCGAAGATGAGTGTGATGGAGATAGTCACAATCAGTTGGACAACGGAACACCTACAAACATTACAATACAGCGAGAAAATGTTGCAGAAGACTCCAATGGAGATGAATGGGTTGACATAGAGGATACGACTCCGGAATTTGAAGAATACCCACACGAATGTCAATACAATGTACCTGAAAATGTTAAGACACCAGATGAGATATTTAGACTGTTTCTAACAGATGAGATGGTTGACAAGATGGTCCTTGAGACTAATTTGTACGCGGAAAAATTTCTTACTAATCCAGGCTTAAAGAAAAAATCTCGGTTCCGTTATTGGAAACCAATTAACCGAGAAGAGTTGCTGAAGTTTCTAGGTGTTGCCTTAGTTATGGGGTTAAATAAAGTTCCTCACATCAATGATTACTGGTCCCAAAATATTATGTATCGAAATGATTATATCATAAAAGTTATGAGTAGAGATCGATTCACTGCAATTTTAAAATTTTGGCATTTTAGTGATGACACTATTGACAGGCCAACTGATAAACTAAATAAAATACGTGATGTATATGAAATGCTTCTTGCTAACTTCAAGAAAGTTATTGTTCCGGGTAAAATCCTAGTGATTGATGAGACCATGGTGCCATGGCGCGGAAGAATACAATTCCGGCAATATATAAAGAATAAAACACATAAATACGGAGTAAAGCTTTACAAATTATGTACTGTTGACGGATTTACTTGCAATATGATGGTGTATACAGGAAAAGGACAGGATGGACGGGAAAAGAACCATGGAATGAAAACTGTTTTGAAATTGTTACAAAATTTGGACAACAACGGTAGGATTATTATAACAGACAACTTTTACAATAGCGTAGAACTTGCTGAAGAACTATTAAAGAGAAAAACTTTTTGTGTGGAACTCTCAGAGCAAACAGAAGAGGTTTACCAAAATCTATTGTGGCAAAAAAGATAAAAAAGGGTGAAGTGATTGGAAAGATGAGAAGAACAGGTGTAAAAGTTATAAAGTGGGTGGACAAAAGGGTAGTCTTAATGATTACTTCATGCAAAAATCATGATGCAAAACTTATAACGAAACCAAGATCTAGGAGAGGGAGGGAAACATATAAGGAAGCCAGAATGCATATTTTTTTACAATGATGGCAAAAAGGGAATTGATTATAGCGACCAAATGTCGTCTTATTACAGCCCCTTGAAGAGGGGAAAGAAGTGGTTTCGAAAATTGATGATGGAACTAATTTTTGGAACAGCTATAGTAAATGCATGGGTGGTATATAATAATAAAAAAAAAGAAGTTACCAAAGAAGAATTTTATAGAAAGCATCATAACGAAATTCACAGGGGTTCCTTTTTTTCTGGAAAAAGATAATCCGGAAGTGACCACTGAACACAAATATATAGTGAATACCAAAAAGAGACGTTGTGTGAGTTGCTACGAAAAGGCACGAAAAACAATGACTAGCAAGGAAGCGGATAAAAAGACAAAACAGGTAAAAGGTTTCTGTGTGAAGTGTGAAAAAACTATGTGTCTTCCATGTTTTAATGAAAAACATTGACATTTTTTGCACTGAATAGTTTATAAGTTTCTAATGCCTTACACTATAGTATTATAATAAATGATTAATATCGATAATGTTGTTGGTCTTATTGTTTCTCATCACTATTTTTTTTATCGATACTATGCAATATCTGCAAAACGAGATCTAAAAGTACTCGCATTTTC